TAAAATTAAAAAGAAAAATATAAATTGTATGGGGAAAATAAAAGGAAGTAAAAAAAAGAAGAAAAAACACTATTAATTATAGGTAGCAGTGTTTTGCAAGGAGAGGTAAAGTAAAAACCTCTTCTCTTTTAATTTTTTTTTGGTCAATGTTAATGTTCATATTAATAGAAGAAAATGGTAGAATATTAAGGCTAAGTTACGGAGGATTCAGGCTTCTTTTCCGGGCCAGGATTTAGGGCATCTGCGTCACTGCAAGCTACAGCTCTGTACAAGACTGAACCATGGTCAATTGTCCAATTCAGAGTCGAGGGCCTAGCCTAAAGAGGTCATTTTCTCCTCTCAAGTTGTTTGAAGGGATTAACAGGCATATTTGGAAGCAAGCAAGGTTAGATCCTATGATATTTTTTAGGAATGGACGTGGTGTTTTAAGGCAAGGTTTAGGCAATATCTTCAAAATATATGACTGATTTATCTCGCTGTGGTGTTTTTGTGCACCAAGCAAAGCTGAAAAGGACGTGAGAGTGTGAAGTTGGCAGCACTGGTCATGTACCGATGGTGGAATATGTGGAAGTGAAGGGAGAGCTTGTAGCAGCGGAGACATTGATAATGAGAGTAGAAGGAAATAATGCTACTTTAGCCATCGAAACACTGACCGTACTCGACAGTGAAAGGGAATGGTGCTTTGTAATGCTGCTTTAGCCATCGAAACACTGTGTACTCGACAGTGAAAGGGAATGGTGCTTAATTAGTATTGCTCGTGGGTGGTGGTGGTAACACAAGGGACAAACTCACTACTATGTAGGCCAAGCCTTCGACGGTGATTGAATTAGACATTGTTTTTATTGATATTATACTTTCGATTTAGTTAAGGAATGGAAGAATTTAGGATGTTCTTTGCTCGTAATATTTACATTATTTTCTCCAATTAAGAGCCTGAAGAGATAGGAGTGTTGTGATTATGACGTTATAATAACAATCAACATCTAATGAAAGGTTATGTCTCTAGTGATATCAACAACTAATCTATGAAGGTTAAATGTTTGGATAGGGTTTCTCCTCATGAATAAATGATTAGGACATCATTACAAAATCTTTACATTATACATCCATATTTGATTTAATTCGATTTTTTGGGGTAAATAATTATAATCCGAGCGTGAAATTTCATGGGATTTTAACGTCAAGTCCTTAAAGAGCCAAACATCATCGCACCGGCAACTTATTCATTGAGATATTATTATTTATGCTTTATTGCCTAAATTTCATTAGACAATGAAGCTGTAGACAAGGGCAACATCTTAACAACGCCCTACAAACTTCTATAAACGAAAGATACCATAATGTTTATGAAAAGATGCTGCAATGAGTGACATGAAAATAGCCTTTCAAACTTCTATAAACGAAAGATACCATAATTTTTATGACAAGATGCTGCAAGAGTGACATGAAAATGGTCTTTTATGTTGATATTAAAAATAAAAAAAATAATTTTATTATATTTTGAAATAAAAAAATTATTTTAAAAAGTATAACGCATGATAATACAGACACCCTTTAATTATAAAAAGAGAAAGGAGGTACATCTGACGGTCAGTCTTGTTTTCTTGCTTTAAAGTGACCCGTCTTGAATAAGACCCAGTGGTTGTAGCCCAAAACACCAAAGCAGGCCTTGATGATGCTTGGTCCACAAGGGAAATGCTGAAGACAACTGCGATCAAGTCCAGCTCCTGAAAATGACCCATCATGCCACTAAATGTCACGAACCAATTGGTGTTGTTGGTGTAGGGTCTACGCATCTAGGTGGTTAAAAGTTTTCCCATCTGGATTAGGATCCAACTGAAAAAGGTGGAGAAGTGGGCCCGATGGGCCTTCATGATGTTCTCCTCATAAGGGTCCAATCAGCAATTATTAGCATCTTTTTTATTGTACAAACTAGGAGGAAGGGCAGAAATTGTACAGCTGCCTACAGTAAAGTCACCAACAGAACGCTTAAGGAGGATAAAGTGGACCCATGCTGACGCCGCAGGCAGCTTTCCATCTAAGTGTGAGCGAAACGAGTGATTTTTTTTTTAATATATTAAAATAATATTTTTTATTTTTAAAAAATTATTTTTCATATTAATATATCAAAATATTTTTAAAAAAATAAAAAAAATATTAATTTAAAATAAAAAATATTTTTAAAACACAGAAAATAAAAACAAATAGCCCTAACTTCCAAGCAGTTAAAGTTTTGCTGCGTTTTCAACAGCCTCACCAAGGCTCAGTTAACTCATCAATCCAGTATCCTAGCCTAGGTTTTGGGCCCGACCAGATTGAGGGTTGAAATCGGCAACCTAAACCTATCTAACATGACTTCATTCAATTTCATCATATGAAAGACAGACTTCTTCGAAATTAATCTAGAGATTAGAAAGGAGCTTCAGTTACAAAATCCAGACTCTACCAGTCCTCGAGGCGAGCTCCATACAATCTGAACAAAATTCACATTGAGTCCAGACCTTGAAGCTCCACTTCCACTTGGGTTCGACTTATTTGATACTTTGAGCTTTTAAGTTCGAATTAGAGTTGTAATTGTAGGCTCATCACATGGCTATTGAGCCCAGCTCAGCAAAGCTTGTACTGGCCGTAAGATGACTGTTTTCAAGAACTGATGTCCTATTTCTAGTCGGACTCCAGGGAGGACTACAGCCCTGGCTTTCACGTTACTTGATACGCACTGTGATCTCAAATCAATGAATGTCCCGCTTAAACCAGTGTTGTTCAAGCCAGCCTAGTAAATCAACCCAATACCTAGCCTAAGCCGGGTTTTAAAAAACTAGATGAGAATTGACCCAACCAAACTCAAACAACCCAACAAGTCAATTTATGATCCAATCAACCCAATTTGACTTTAAAGAAAAATACAAATCATCATTTAATATTGAAATGGCATCATTTTAATTGACCTGTTTACCTATTAAATCCAACCTGAGCCTAACATGCCAAATCAAATCTAAAGCAAGACCAAGTTTAATAACTTAAATAAACCAAAAATAAAATCAAACATAAATAACGTCTCCCTGAATTCTAACTAGGTGAATTTAATCTCTTAAATACACTAAATCACAAAAATAAAAGTACTGGCTGACAAGTAAGCGATTAAAATTATATTTACCGTTCGAATAAAAAAAACATGATGACTTGAGACGAGAGTAAAAGTTAGAAAAGGTTGTATGTCATAATCACGATTTTCTTTAGACCAAGGCTTCGCCCCAACAACATATTTCAACATACCATATTACAGGCAGAGCAAGGTTGATAAGATTGAGGCAAATATAATTCAAAACTTCCGCCCCTTCCTAATACATACACATTTGACTCCTACAAAGGCAGCAAACAGACTGCCCGCTACCTGTATGACTGCAGGTAGCTGTAAGAACACACGAAAGTATATCAATCAGATGAAAGACATTTGAAGAAGCCATTCGATCAAGAAAAACAGGGGACTAAAATGCAGGTCATTATATACTTGACACAGATTAATGTATCCATCAAACGATAGCTGATGCATGTAGCATTCCAAATTTTTCAGTGATATGTTAACATCCTCGTGGGAACCACCTAATTGTAAGACCCAGCTTACAAGCAACTCTATGAATCAGTAAGCATATTACATGTTAAAACTGACGACATTGAAAATAATTAGATAGCGCTCCTTCAAACATAAACGTTAGAAGATATAATTAGCTAGGCTAAAATTCATTTCCTCATCCTTTTGTTTGGACCAGAGATGTAAAACCCACTTAAAATGTGCAGCTAAAACCATTCGAATAGTAGTGATCAATGTGAATCAAAGTCGTCGTCGTCATTTAGTATAAGGTTGACAGCAAACAACACAACCCTGCAAGAAGAACTTCTTATAAGCATAGAGGTTAGAGAAAGAGTTCAAGGTCCTTTAGAAAGGTAGAGAGCAGGTGTCTTATGGGTAATGGACACAAAATGGTACGCCCACTCCTTCACAAAGAAAAGCCCTCCCACAGAATCCATGTGAAATTCACAAATAATCAACAAATATCTTGGAACCTAAAAGCAATGTAAAGAGAACTTTGCAAAATTGGAAGCTAAAAGCAATGTAAAGAGAACTTTGCAAACATATTCGTTAAAAAAATAATAATTGGAAACTGTAGTGAAGAGAGAACACTCTCTTATTCAAACATAAAACAGCAGCCTAGATACATAATACACCCCAAGATGGGTCCTGGAGGCCATATCCTAATTGACCCTGTTGCACTCATCTTTAAATCCTTCACCTCACAAATATTCTGTCCCTCCTTAGTCTCACCACCATAACATGAGGCTTATGCCCTTTCTCCACAAGATAAGCCAATATAATACACACATGCTAGTTTGAGTTCCTACATATTGAATATCTGAATCTGAATGTTTTCATTATTCTTACGAATTCTAAACAGCTTGGTAATTGGCAAACCTACAGTACATAAAACCTTCTAACCTGGTCAGATCTGCAACACTCATTGCATTCACAATGATTATCAGATTAACTCACAATAGATACTCTTGCCAAACAAAGACTTGTACTTGAGTTCAATCTTCAATACAGTTCGGTGTCAGCTTCATTCTTGGATAAAAACGGAAACCATTGGCATGGTCAATGAATGCCACTTGTAATTGTTTATTAAATACTCTGATGTGAGGTTAAAATACTCCTTTTCAATAATGACATATATTAACATACAATCACGGTTATCTAGTGAGAAAGATAAGCCAAAAACAGATTAATATCACATGCATATTGCATACCCCTACATGCTTATGTCTTCTACTGCCTTCATGATTTTTGTCAATGTACTAAGATAATATTTGAGATTATAGTAGTGGTTGTTTTTCAAAGAGCTTTTTGTATGGAAATACATCAAAATAATATTTTTTTATTAAAAAAATTCTTTTTTGATATCAGCACATCAAAATGATCCAAAATCATAAAAAAAATTAATTTGGAGCCCAAAAAAATAAAATTCAAAAGCGGTTTTTAACACAAAAACAAACACAGCTTTATGAACCCGTTGATTTACATTCTTGGCCTCTTACCGAAGTGCAGTAAGCAATGATAACTTAAGGGGAAAAAGTCAAAATAGCAGCATCAGGTTCCTGAACTATTACGTCAATGGTTTAACAGTGATAGTAAGTGATTTGGCCAAAGGAGGAACTTAAGATTCTCTATACATGGAAGAGCCAGATTCATTAGATACAATTAGTTACATGAATATATGTACATGTTCAACTGTACAAGAGAAAAGCAATGAAATTCAAAGCCATGACTGGAGTTTTATTTTCAATTTTATGCACAGTTTTATGTAGAGTGTAGATAAAGAATTGGTGCAATAATAGAAAAATAGGTCAAATACTTTATGCCAGCATTACTTTTTCTAAAAAATGCAGAACCACGAAACCATAAACCTGGTAGCCCCTCATATGATCAAATGCTTTCCTATTTAAAAGCACTAAAAAGTATCAAGCTTCCAGGCTAATAATGGTAAGTTTCTAGAACTCAAAAAACGATGAGTGGATATCTAATTCTTCAGAGTTGAACAGTGATAAGATGCCCGCACCAATTCTATACCCAAACGGAATGGAAAACATATATCAGACCAAGAGATAGTTGAAACATGTACTTAATGAGAAACCAGGATAGTTATATACATAGTTCAGAACAAACCTAAATACGCAAACTGTGAAGAAGATCATGTAGACACCAAGCTTGATCATCCTATGCTTCTTGTCAGTGTTGAGGTTTCTGAAAACTTCAGTGACATCAATAAGATGTTGCCGTCTAATAAACCTGCAATATTGTGGGACGACATATACATTTTAAACACGAGCACATAAAGCTTAAAGCAAACACATTCATTATTAATATGGATCAGGAACCTCACTGAGGACCTTTCAATTTCCATTCCTTTTTGCCAGTCATTGTCATTTTCACATCACAAATCATCTATGTTAGAGTGTGGTTACAATTGCTTTTCAAAATGCCTTTTGTGCCGACATGCATCAAAATGATTTTATTTTATTTTTTAAAAAAATCATTTTAGAGATCAGTGCATCAAAACAATTCAAAACATACCCAAAAAAATTTGATTTTTTGTGGAACGTGGAATCAGCGCATCAAAACAATTCAAAACATATCCAAAAAAATTAATTTTTAGCAGCAAAAAAATTTCATTTTTTGTGGAACGCAATTTGCACAGCGTTCCCAAACGGTCTCGCATGTGACTTGACAATATAATTGGCCCCACCAAGGATTATTTATCAATTTTTTTCAAATAATTGAGAAGTAACACACATCTTTTTTTTATGAATACTATTCCCATTGGTTTCCTTTTGAGCAGTACCATATATCTTGTTGCAAAATATCTCATGTGGGATCAGAACACAAGATAATTAAAGTTTTTCAAAGCTGCTAATTAATCTCACGAAGTAGAATGAAAAAAAAACAACTCTTCTTCTTTTTCGCACTTAATTGGATAAAAATAGGTTATTACAATTTTGAGGGAATCACTATGATGAAATTGGTAGACACACTACTCTTAGAAAGCAGAGCTATGGCATTTCAGTGGGAGGCATTAGAAAAAAAAGTTGCCAGTTCTTCTGAGAGATTGATGGTTCTCTAATGGCAAATGGAGCTTTGCTGTTTTTTCTTAATATTTAATTATGTTAAATATAAACAGGCACTGTGATGATATGCAAACAGAAAAGGATTGACAGTAAACCAAAAGCTCTGATCCATAGCACTAGATTTAAGATAAGGACATTTATGAGGCTGAATTGGAAATGGTGAGGGGTGCAGGGTGCAGGCTACATGAGGATCATCGTTTGATCATCATTGCCAAGTAGACAACGAACCCCATGTGAAACAGTAGAAGAAATATCATTGAGCTAATGCTTGTTATATAATGCATCTGGCGATCCAACACCATGATTCTCTCCAACTCAAACACAACAAAGCGACAATGAAAATCTCTTAGTCACAAAACACATATTAAAACTTACAGAAACGGCCTAGCTTGCATTTCACAAAGTTTACTAATTACTACTAGAAGTCAGGAAAAGAATTTCAAATGTGTTATTAAGGGCAAGATTCTAAGCCATAGGTCAAATGCATTTTCAATTTATATCCTGGAAACAAAAAAAGTATAAATTGTTCACTTTTTCGTTAATATTTTTTGTTAAATGCAAGAGTATATGCCTAGTCCACATGTAAAATTCACCTGCATCTCACAAGGAAGCTGCTTCTATAACCTATCTCCCAAGTAAAGCATGCGCAAATACCAAATTCTTAGTTAAAACCAAAACGATGCCGGTTGTTGCAGTTAAACAATGCAGACAACTTGGCAATATAAAAGCGAAGGCAAGGAATGTAGATTGCAACATGGAGCTGTGAAGAACGATAATATCAGTTTGTTAGAGAGAATGAACGAGTATTCAGAACACTTACAGCATTGCATGATAACAGGTAAGAGGAACTGCCACCAAAAACAAGATCCAGTGACCTGTGAAGAGTAAAAGAATGCTTAGTGCAGCTTGCAAAGCAAACTCAAGCAGAATCCACCTGTTGATGTTAGCCGTCGCCACAAACGGATCCATCTGGTCTACCTCCAAGTCCGTTAAACATAGAAGCTACAAATAAATAAATTAATTAAAAGCAAGCAAGTACAGCAATAAGAAAATACCAATCCTAATATCCACAATAACTGCCATCGAATCTATTTTTTTTTTCTCAGGGATCGAAATCTAGCCAAACAAACTAGTATAACAGTATCGCTAACATCTTAAACGAAATAATAAATAAAGTTATAGTATACAAGAGTGGATAATAATAGTAATAGTTCAAAATTCAAATTGCGCGCAAACTCTGGTATCAATAATTAATTTTAGCATGAATATTTAGCTAAATTAATTTTAGAAACCAAATAAACAGAAAGAATTAGCAAAAAAAGAAAAAATCGGCGATTAAGAAACTTGGAAGCTCTATAATGCTGAGTATTCGGCAAACAGAGAATGAATGTAGAGTAGGGGTTTATTTGGAAGGAGAGGAAAGGAAGATAATAAATACAGCGTAAAAGACGATAGCGAGGAGGCCAAAGTTGATGAGCAAACAGATGATCCAGAAAATCAAATTCCACATCGTTTCTGCTTGCTTCTTCTTCGGGGCAGAGAATCCGTGAGGAACTGAGTACAGAGGGAGTGGGGTGTTCTTTTCTGTTTGTTTTTTTTTCTTGTGCAAAAAAAAAAGAAAAGAGTAATGGAGGGAAGGGGGAGTAGAAAGAGTGGGAACTGGGAGTGTTTTCAGGGGTTTTGTTTTCGGGTACGCAGTGGGTCCCACTAATGATAGTTATGGGCCCAGTTTAATTATTTTCACTGCGGTTCCGGGTAATAAATATGTTTTTTTTTTCTTTTTTAATGTTGAGAGCCTGAACTTTTATTTTTTCCAAACAAATAAAGATATCGGAATAATAAAATTAATTTAGATCAATTTAATAACCTAATTCTTGGTAATAAAATTATAATAACTATAAAAACATTAAAAAAATATAAAAATTATAATTTAATATTTAAAATTAAAAGTAAAACAAGTTAATTTAAAAACAATTAGATTAACTTAAATTAACTAACGAGCAAGCATGATATAAAATTAAAATTTAAAAAATAAATTAAAAAATAGAAAAAAAATCAAAGTTAAATTAATAAAAAATAAATAAAAAAACATTAAACCAGCATATATTAACTTGACTAACTCACATGCAAAATAACTTTGTACAAAGAAAATTAAAAACATCATAAAATTTAAGAATTAATAATTTAATATCAAGTGATAACATTAAAAAAATATATATATATTTATAAAAAAAATTAGATCAACTTGGGTTAGCTCAATCAACTTGAAATACAAGATATGAGGTAGATATAACAAAAAAAAAAAAATAGAATAAATCACAAAACTCAAGGCTTGATAATTTAACATTATTAAAACAATAAAAAAAATTATTTTTGAAAGAGACTTAAAAAAACAAAGCAAGACCGGGCTAATATTTGAAATTTATGGCGGTGCTTATGAGATTGAAATTACCCTTATGGAACACATGTATGAAAAAATAATAAAGTAAAATTCTTAATCATAACAAAAATCAAATTCAAAATAATAAGGATTAAATATTATATAAAAAGGTAATAAAAAATAGTTTGAGATTGAATTAAAAAATAAAACAAATAAAGAAAATAAAGAAAATAAAAAATAAAAAAAAGGACCAAAACATATACAAGATTAAATTGAATAAAATATTAAAGGATATAATAAAAAAAATCTAACAGATGATAAAAAATAGTAATTAAAATAATAAAAACTAAATTAAATATAAAAATTAAATAAAATATTAAAGAATTAAATTAAAAATAATTTAATATTTAAAATTAAAAGTAAAAGTAAAACAAGTTAATGTAAAAAAAACTTAGATTAACTTAGATTGACTAAGTAGCAAGCATGATATCAAATTAAAATTAAAAAAAAATAAAAAATAGAAAAAAAATCAAAGTTAAATCAATAAAAAATAGATGAAAAAATAAATAAAAAAACATTAAACCAGCATATATTAACTTGACTAACTCACATGCAAAATAACTTTGTACAAAAAAAATTAAAAACATCACAAAATTTAAGAATTAATAATTTAATATCAAGTGATAAAATTAAAAAAATATATATATTTATAAAAAAAATTAGATTAACTTGGGTTAGCTCAATCAACTTGAAATACAAGATATGAGGTAGATATAACAAAAAAAAAAAAATAGAATAAATCACAAAACTCAAGGCTTGATAATTTAACATTATTAAAACAATAAAAAAAAAAAGAATTAAATTAAAAAAAAACAAAAAAACAAAGAGCATTAAAATTTAAACAAATATAAATAAAAAAATAGCACCAAACTAGAAATAAATACAAATTAGAGGAGATGCAATTGAATTTTTCAAGACCTTTCTCAAGTATCAAGGTTTAGAAGAGAGGATAGAGGGGGCATGAGAAAAAAATTCTTCATTGTTGAACTGCCGTAAATGAGACCACATGCGCCACCCTATTGGTCACACCGCCACCAATCACGTCTAATAAAATAATAATAGGCGGTTTGTCATCATATAAGTCTGTACGCGTTTCTAAAATGATGCGGGGCAATCACAAGTTGAGATGTGTTAAAGGAAGTTAATATCTTTTATTTATTTATTAATATTTTAAAATATTAAATTACTAAAAAATCCTTGAAAACATTTGAAAAAAAAAACATATTACAAAGACAACAACACCATTCCAAACCAGCCTTGGAATTTTTTAAAATCAAAGTTAAACTAGTCATTTTATTGTAAAAAAATAAAATAAAAAACTAAAAAACCACTCTCTACAAATTCAGTATTTTGCAATTTTAAAAGGTATTTATGCCTGCAATAAAATAGATAAAAAACACAAAAAAAAACCCTATTTATGCCTGCAATAAAATAGATAAAAAAAACCCGTGCAAGGTGTCTATATTTTTTGCTTGAAAGACAACGAACTGATTTTACTGTGCAACTAATGTCCTAAATAATTTTACAACTGACCATTGCATGCATTGGAATGAAAGACAACGAACTGATTTTACTGTGCACCTAAAAGGACTAAATTGTCCTAAGTAATTTTACAAATGACCATTGCATGCAATGGAGAAGTTGATTCTATCCCATAAGCTAGACAATTGTTGGTGTAGAGAAGGGATAAAAAGATAATTCATTGCGCCCATCAACGGCGGATGTCAAAGTAAAACGCTCATCAACTTTAGCGTTTTTTTAATATATGACCGATAAACTTAATACAGAGAGCGTTTTGATCCCAGCACATTATAATTTGCTCATACGAGTCTTGAGTAAATAGAAGTTTTGCTATCTTTTTGTCATGCTTTTACCCTTTAACCTTTGATGAGCTTCACTGTACAAAACTGTAAACATTATGGGTAAAATATTGTGCGCATGTAATGTTTATCCTCTTATATTTTACTATGAATTTACTTCTTCTTCTTTTGTTTCATTCCAGTTTTTAAACTTTTTTTTAATGATTATATCCTTTTTGGGCTAAATTAAAGACAGATAATCAAATTTTTTTGCTAATGATAAAATTTTAAAACAGCAAACTAAAATAAAAAATATACCATAAATAGGTGATGATTTAAGTATTCTTACAAAAAGTTTGCCTGAGTTCTTAAACTTTTATAGCTATTCAGTTTCTCAATATTTTGCAATTTAATTTTTGTTTTTTACAGAATCTCCTTTGGTTTTTTTAGTTCTTTGTTCGGAAGACATTGAATTTTAGAAAATCAACATTAACACAAATTCAAATCACCAAAACAATCATCTTATAATATTTAAAAAAAAAAGAGTTTCATTGGATTAATGGAATTTTACTTAAGTGTTTTCTCACATTAAAATTATCTAAAAAACCATGTCAAAACTTAGAAAGATATTTTTATTTCAAATTAATTTTTGATCTTTATGTAATTTTTTAAGATCATTTATAAGTTTATCAAGGTATTTAAGATTTTTTTATAGATATTTTGGGTTAAAAATGAGTTTTCTTAATAAAAAAAATAGATCTTATTTTTACATCCACCACAATGACTATAGTTTAAGAGAAACTAAATGATACGTATTTTTTTATGTTTTATTTTTTATCAAGTTATCCTGATTTCATAACCTGAATCATAAATTTAATAAATTAATCTGTATTGGCTTACTTATTATTCTATATATTATAGGTTTGTCATGATAACCTAGATGGATTTAAATCATTGTTTTTTACTATTTTTTAACTCAATTTTACCATTTTATATTAATACGTTGAAAATTAAGTTATATTAATATATTATAGGTTTGTCATGATAACCTAGGTAGATTTAAATCATTGTTTTTTGCTATTTTTTAACTTAATTTTACTATTTTATATTAATATGTTGAAAATTAAGTTATATTGTTTGTCTTTTTAAAAATTATTCTATTTATTATTAATTTTTTTGTTATATAATTAAAATAAAACTAGCTTATATCACTCCATTTAGTTTATAACTCGATTCATAATTTTTTTTTTACCAGATGTGCACCACTTCATATTATTTTTAACACAAAAAAATAAATAATACCCTGCGGTGTATCACGGTAACACAATTAATCAACTCTATTATAAAAATAGGATGCCAGATAAAAAAATTTATTTTCAAAGTTTATTATCTTATCATTTACAGTGCAACCAAACATATAGTAATTTATTTTTGAAAAACTACCTTCAAAAAAATTCATTTTCCGTCAGATAAACGAGGGCATCGGAAATTAATTCTTGCCGTGAAAACATAAAATTAAACTTGAAAAAGAAAAGGAAGAAAGTGTTGCCATCATCCTGATCACCGACAGGCGACATGAAAAAGTCAGCCAACCTCGAACGATTACACGACACGTCGTATGTAACGCCACTGTACAGCAAGAAAACGGTAACAAATATTTCGAGTCTGAAAACTAAAAGAAACGACTTGTCGTTTCCTATCCGAATCAGAACGAAAGCAAAGCTGTGGCCTGTGGGACAGGCGAGACAAGCTTCTTGTTCACCGAACCAGAAGAAGCATTGACATAAAAAATGGGCAGCTTATTCAACAAAACAAACTTTCATCGCTAAGCTTCTCCTTTTTATAACTTGTTGTTTTCTTGGTTAAAGCAGGTATGATGTATAATTCTTTGCTTGAAAAAACTATATTTGCTTGCATGTTCCCTTATTTCTTCTACAATACACTCTGAAAATCGTTGATTTTCTTTCTGGGTTTTATTTATTGTTAGATAGTGAGTGATTTTGAAACCCAAATACATTCACTGTTGTTGCTCACTTCTAGAGGTTTCATTTCTTGCTTTGGTCTTGTACATTTCTGTATAAGTGTTTTTGGATCCTCATATGTGACAAAAGGTGCTGCTTATTGTCTGGCAACCTATTTTTGAGATTTCATGGTGAGATTTCTTAGAGTTACATACTTCAAAAGAAATGATTTTTTTTGTTTTAATTTGTTGATCAGGTATACTTAGAATGGTGATCATTTGAGGTTTGTTGACTAGACCTCAGAGTAGTTTATGATATTGATAGAAAGGAAGGATTATTGGGAAGATAGATTTTGGGTTTGATTCAGAAGAGAGAGAAGAGAATGTGGAAATTGAGGATTTCTTAATATTTGAGCTTGTTTAGTTAGATAGACTTCGAGGGAATTTTGGAAAATGATCTTACTTTTGGCCTCGATTAGCTAGTTGTTTTATGATGTTAAGTTGTTTGTTGAGATTGAAAATGATCTTACTTTTGGCCTCGATTAGCTAGTTGTTTTATGATGTTAAATCGTTTGTCAAGATTGAAGTGACCCTAAGAAAGCGAGAGTGAGGCCAAATGTTGTGCTAGTCAGACATTTGAATGGGTTTTTTTTTTGTGCTATGAACTTGGTATTTCTGCTTCTATATCCTCTACTGCGGTGTTGTTGTTGATTTGTTCAATTGATGTGATTAGTTATATTGCAATGGAAAAGAACAAGGAATAAAACCAGGGCTGTATAAAATGTCACACAATAATTCAAATTGTCTTGTGATTTCTTACTTTCATCAGTGAAGTAAGGATTTAGTTTTTAGGGAAATGTCAAATCTTAAGCAAATGAGAATATCGTGGAAAAAATCAAGAACTCTACAATGGGTTTAGGACATCAAGTTGAGAATTTGTCAAATCCAAAGTGCTGGTCCAATTCATGATTTCTGTTAAGTGACAACTTTTGAGTATGCAGAAATATATAGGATAGTATCTTGTTATGTATATTATATGTGTTTTGTGTGGGAAGGGAAGGACTTTATGCATGAAAGCTGTGAATTATGGCTGATAGCCCTCTACATAAAGCCTCATCTAGGAAATGCCTGTTATTAGTTGGCCACTTAAGTGTTGTCCTTTGTGCGTGCGTCCAGGCTATGCCAGCATGATTGTTTGCTCTCCCATCAGCACATGTGTGAAGAATGTTGTCCACCTGAGTAGCTGAGTTCAACAAATGGGCAGCACTATCTTGAATGTGGTATCTGGTGGACAAACCACTTGCTGTTTTTCTTTGTACCCTGGTCTTTCCAGGACAAGTTATTCTCGTTTGTCTGTCTCAAAGACATTCTCTTGTCCATCAATTAGCTATAAAACGATACAGAGCAACCGTTTTGGATCCATTTTGAGCAAGCAAAGGGCTGATTTGCAATCATTTACTGTAAAAGGTGTAGTTAGATCCAGAGGTCCTCTGAATAGACAATTCAATATTTCATTGCCATGCCAAGTCATGAATCTGAGGTTTTCAGTTTCAAAACAAGGAGTTCTATCCAAAATCAATGATAATACAGGATCTATTTCTTGGTCACAAGGATATCCCACCACTGGCATAATTTTTGGTCTTCTGGTTTGTTATTCAAATTCTGAGCCAACACACGCTGAAGCAGCTACACATAAGAATGACAAGGAGGACAATTGCAATTTATCAGATGTTAAATTCTCACACGGGAAGGAAGTTTACACAGACTACTTCATTATTGGTGAGCACCAATTCATTGTCCATTCATACACAATTTGTTAGTGGTATGTGCACATATCATTTTCATCACCAAGATTTACATATTAAAATTGATGGCGCAACAAACCTTTATGCTGGTTATTCATGTCTTGAAGTGTCAATGTCCACTCTGTGCAGGAATACCAGGAGATGGTAGATGTTTGTTCCGCTCTGTGGCTCACGGGGCTTGTATACGGTCTGGGAAACCAGCTCCAAGTGAAAACCTTCAGAGAGAATTAGCAGATGACTTGCGTTTTAAAGTATCTTTTTTACACCCTTTCATTTTAATAATAAGAAGTCTGAAATTTTGTTTCTGCAAAAAGCATGAATGCCTATTGCCTGATAACCATCTATCATTTTGCGAATTTGTCTTCTTTTTCTTATTGATTTTTGGTTGTCGTTACATTTAATGAGCTTTTAAGAGAAAAAATAATATTATCTCTTAAAACAAGATTAAATGATAAGAATTTGTTCGACAAAAGCCAAAGTCAGTGATATAAGTTACTACCTTGTCATATTCTCAAGCTTTCCATCCAAGGGCATCTTGTTCGCAATAGTCATATCCATAGTACTCCTGATTTGTGATGTTTTGTTAAATTGGCCAGGTTGCTGATGAGTTTATCAAGAGAAGGGAAGAGACAGAATGGTGAGAGTTTTTGGTTTCCACCTTTTCCATTTTTTTCACTACCTTACCTGTGTATGTTTAGCAATAAAGAATGCTATATAAATGGGACAGGCAATATCCTTTTTTTGTAGAAACTGAAAATGGAAAGAACCTTGATTTATGTTGGTAAATCATTAATTCTGGTTTCAGAAGTGCTGATGCACCTTGCGGTCAATGTTTTCAATAGATTCAGTCATGCCCATTGATTTTGCTCACAGTTTCTCCAAGCAGTATATGCCTTTGTAAAGAAATCAAGTTTACATGAAATCTGAACTCCTTGTACTAGTTGGAAGGCATATGACATCACATTGAAGAAATAAACCACCATTGGTGAAGTTTTATGTATAAATTTGTTTGACATCTTGATAATTCCTTCAGGTTTATAGAAGGCAATTTTGAAACCTATGTGTTGCGAATGAGGAAGCCACATGTGTGGGGCGGTGAGCCTGAGTTGTTGATGGCTTCTCATGTTCTCAAGTAAGCATCTCTCCCATTGTTTTCGTTGCTTACAAGGAAAAAAAGAATATGTGCCTAGGGAAGAAAAGCATGCTCGTACAGTCTTTCAAGATATGTAACCTGTTATATTTGTTACAATTGTATGCTAAAAAGAGTAGGTGCACTCCAGTTTAGCACGTGGATTTTAATTTATTTGTCTTCAGCCTTTTTGGGGAAAAAAGGAAGATTCATTGAGGGATTAATATTGATGGAAGCCATAAAATAACTGCAGGATGCCAATCACTGTGTACATGTACGACAAGAATGCGAGGGGCTTGATATCCATTGCAGAGTATGGTCAGGAGTACGGGAAGGAAGATCCAATTAGGATTATATATCATGGTTTTGGCCATTATGATGCCTTACAGTTTCCAGGAACTAGAGGTGGTAAATCAAAACTTTAATATTCCTTTAATACCGAAACTGAAAAGAAATTCATGATACAGGCATGTAATTGTGTCTTTTTCTCTGTGTTGCATACTATGATGATTTTCACATAACCGATAGCTGTGGACGAGTTAAATTCTACGTCCTGACTGTATTACGTGATCTCTTGAGCTAACTTGGAGTGGCAAATTACATTCTCTTGTCCAACTGAAGAGGGAAACCTGAAGACAAGGTTCCTTTGTTGGATTTGCAACCTGAGAAATTCTTAACATAGAATTTGCTATGTTTGTTCTAGTGATTTACAATTAACTGAAAATGAGGTTTACTTCAGAGTTTTCATTGCTCATCAGTCTAATGCATTGGGAGCAGGTTAACATAGCTACAGTCAGTGATGAAAGGGCCTTCCTACATGTCACACAAGTCCATTATGTTTTGATGCTAAGATTAGTGCATTGATAAATAAAAGGACCATGAGAAAAGTAGGATTCCAAATTTTCAGGTAGTGATTCATTTTATACACTTCTGTCCAACCAGGATTCTAGGGTCTCTATCCATTTCTTCTTTATTAAATTCCGGACTTTTGTTCTAGTTCTCCCTTTTCTAGCAGAATTCATCTTAGCTTTTAGGATTTGGCCTTTTCCCTTCTCCTCTCCTCTCCTTGCCATCAAGGGGTTGGAGGCAGGTGACCTGTTTATCATAACTATTGTTTCAAAACACTGTTTAGTGGATTAATCTGGGATCTAATCAATCTAGGTTAAAAAATTAAAAAGAAAAAAAAAAACTTTGTTGACCTGGCTGTTAACCTACTGGCTTTTTTTTTATAAAAAATAGTTAAAATAATATTATTTTAATTAAAAAAAATGAAGTTGATCTAAGTTAATTTTGTTTACCCGAAAATCAGTTCTTGATCGGGTCAGGTTTTCAAGTGGCATGAAAAGACAGGCGAAAAAAATCTATTCAATGCTCGTGAAAATGTCTCTTTTAAGCGTGAGAGTTAATGCACAATTAGGGATGATGGGTGTTACATGTAATTAGGGATATTTGGTCTTCAAGGTGAAAGAGATAAGCTTGGCAACTCTCATTTTATAACTTAATTGCTTTCTCCAAGTTCACTGCTTTTTCATTATTTTATTTTTTTAAATCAGTCTTCGATTTAATCAAAGAGGGTTTTAATCCCGATTTTGTTTAAAAAAACAGTAAAATCACACGAAATGTTGGTTAATAACCTTGCATCTCGTTCTTGGCATGATGTGATCACAAATTTTATATATAATGTTTTTTTTGGTTAAAAATACATAATTTTTTTAATAGATTTTTTTATGTTTTTGAATATATTAATATAAAAAATATATTTTTTTAATATATTTCGTAATAAAAATCACTTTTAAACAAATCTTTCCCTTTTCTCGAACACTGCCTTGCGTTAATTGTCATCGAGCTAACGACAAGGAGAGATTGGAAGATTATGGGTTCCTTTGTAATTGTCGTATCTTATGGGTTCTTTTGGACCTTACAACTACTGCCAAATTTACGAGACTGGTCCTGATTGCTAGTGGACTGTGTAAATTATATTTTTTTAAAAATTATTTTTTTATTAAAAATAATTTTTTATATATTTTACATAATTTAGATATATTGATTTTAAAAATATTTCTAAAAAATAAAAAAATTATTTTAATATATTTTAATAAATAAAATACTTTTAAAAATAATTGTAATGATAACATCAAACATGCCAGACGAAGCAGCTCCCAACCAAGCATGTCTGCAACGTGTCCTTGTCTAAATGATTTTCTGACACCAATGAGTCTGTAAACGACACAATTACAATCCCGTCCCTACTTTCCACTTACAATTTATGCCCAACTCTTCCATGCCATGGGTTTTTTACCTCTTTGGTTCCCAGAGGTCTTAGAAATCACCGAACTGTGCAGATGAGAAGGAAAAAAAAAATTGGACGACCGTATAATTATTTTGTTGGCGCAAGGGAGTTCGAATAAAGATAACAAGCCCCCGTGACTCCATCGGATAGTTCAAACTTTTTTCAATGCTAAAACTAATATTCATGCGACAATAATTTAAAATAATTTAAGTTAAATTTATTAAAATATAACTTGGGTTATAAAACTGAAATAATAATAAAAAAAAATAATTTTTTTTAAGTTAAATTTATTAAAATATAACTTGGATTATAAAAATGAAATAACAATAAAAAAAATAAAAAAAAATTTATAAAATTTAAGTCTTGATAATCTCATGTCGAAAATAAAAACAACTTATTTTTTAAAAATATAACATTAAAAAAAAATCCGAGTTAATTTGAGTTAACTTAACGAACTCACAATTTACAATATAAGATTAATATAAATTTTTTTTTCAAAAGATAAACCTAATAAAAAATACCAAAGTTCAATAAAAAACATAACAAACCCGAACTTACTTAGGTTAACTTTACTAACATATTATATGAATAACCAAACTGGAAAAAAAAAATAAAGCAATGCCTAATGGCAAATAATTTAATATAAAATAATAAAATTGAAAAAAATATAAAAAATTAAAGAAAAAAATCTGAGTTATATTGGGTTAATTCAACTAACTTGTTACTCGTAACATGAAATCAAGATAAAAAAAAGTTAGACTTCTAAAAAAATGACCTAACAAAAAATACTAAAGCTAAATAAAAAAAATATCAAGAAATAAAATACAAGCTGACCTGGATTAACTTAATTATCCCACTCTTGAGATAACAAAAAAGAAAGAGAAGGAAAAAATGATAAAGTTCAAAGGAAAATAATTTAATATAAAATGATAAAATTAAAAAAATTATAAAAAATTAAGGGGAAAAAAATCAAGTCAACCAGGGTTAATTTTACCAAGTTAACTTGCGACATGAGCCCCGTAAAAAAAAAATTCAAAAGAAATACCTAATAAAAAAGACCTAAGTTAAATAAAAAAAATAGGGTAAGAGGATACAAGTTAACTCGACTTAACTTGATTAACCCGTATTTTGAATAACCTAACAAGAATGAAAGTGAAAAAATCACATAGCTTAAGAGCTAATAATTTAACTCAAAATGATAAAATTATATATATATATAAAAAAAAAAATTCTAAAGCATCCATGGTTAACTTGACTAACCTATTACCTAAGATATAAGATTGAAATAACTCAAAAAAAAAAGTGAAACAAATAATGAAACTAAGAGCTTAATAACCAAGTATTAAACGAAGAATTTGAAAATAAATAAATTCAATAAAGGATTGTTATGTTGGAAGAGAACCACTAACAAAATAATAAAGTAAAATATCTAACTATAAAACAATTTTAAACCCAAACAATACAAAAAAATTATGGTATAAAACAAAATGAAAGAAAATAATTAATAGTTAAATTAAAAAACTAAAAAACTTAGAAAAAGATTTTAAAAAAAGGTAATTGAAATAACGAGGATCAAAACTCAATAAAAAATTAAATGAAATTAAATATTAAAGGATAAAATTTAAAAAATAAATAAATCAAGAAAATAATAAAAATATAGCAATCAAAAGAATAAGGGTAAAAATAAATTAAAAAATAAATACAATAAAATTGGAAGGGATAGAATTGCAAAAAAAATATTAATCAAGAAAAATATAAAACACAAAAATAGAACAATAAAAAGAAGAGAGATTAAAATAAATAAAAAAATCAAATTAAATAAAATCTCCAAGGACAAAATTTATATAAAGCTAAACTCGTAAAAGCATCAAAAACTAAATAAACAATAATTAAAAAAATAAAAACTAAAATTAATAAAATTATAAATGGAAGATATAATTATTTTTTAGAATGACAAGTAAATTTATAAGAGATAAAAAAATAAAAAAATTACACTTTAACCCACCCCAACCTCCCTCGTGGACATGGTTACACCACTAAAAAAAAATTTGTCACTCCCAACACCTCCGTATTTTATCATTATATTTTTAACAGGTTTATTATAAATTATTATTTTGTATAATTATAAATTTAAACCTATATAAACTTTAAATTTTTATTTAAAACTTTCTTATATTTAACATGTCTTATTGTAATAAACTAAACATAATTATTTATTATTTTTTTTATACTACAAGCTTATTATTCTGCATGCTTGATTTTACAAACTAAGCATGTATATATTTATAAATTTTGATTCTTAATCCTTACTCGAAATTCAAATAGTATTGTATTTTTTCTCCAACAAAAAAATAAATATCTTTACACTTAAATCTTTTGAGTTTTTTGAAAGGGATTTTCTATACACGGTACGTGATGTTCGGTATCTCGAGTGTTTTCTTTCTACCTTTTACGAAAAAACACACATAATTTTAAAAAAGAAGAAGGAATGATTAAAAAAACTAGCAAATTCAAGATTAAAAAACTAACCCATATGAGAATCATTGAAAAGCTATAATTCAACATCTTATCAATTGCCATTTGCCAATTACAACTACAATCATCCAGCATCTTCTCTGGTTTACCCGAACACATAATTGTGTTTATGATGAACATGAAATAATCATCTCTGTGTGGAGTTAAGAAATCATGATTGCTTGGAATTTGTCAAATTAATACTCACGGCCTTTCTTTAATTTCAGTCACGGTCTTCCCCAAGTGTTCACCAAACACATGCAACACCACTCATCACCATTTGGATGCCTAGCCAAAATTGGACAATTATACTTTGGTCCCTTCATCATGGTCTCTTCAACCCTTTATCCAGCTCAAGAAAACAACAAAACAGTGCTCTTCCCACCAGCATCTTGCATCCTAAGTGACTTGTTTTTGCAGCTGTGAAACTCAATCTTGCTTGATCCAAGATAAAACTCGTGCTAGATGCAGAAAGGTTGATATTTTTTTTTTTAAAGAATTATAACTATATTGTTTTTGATAAAAAAATTAAAAATAAAATTAACAAGTTGAGGCCTGGATGTTATCAAATCGGGTTTGGGTTGATTAAATTAAATTTGAATTGATTAGATTAATAGATAAATTCAAGTTTTTTTCATCAAACTAATTAAGTTTTTTTAATATATAATTTTTTTCAACTCTAATTGTTTTATATTTTTTGTTAGCTAAGTTCAGCATCAAGCTGTCTTTTTAAAATTTACAAACATGCTTATTTTAGTGAGGTAACACTCTCAAAACAA